GTAAATATCTTGCCATCCATGTACATGTATTTGAAATGCACATTTGATAGACTTATTTTATAACTCCTGTAAACTACTCATGCATCAGACTGGAACTATTTATATAACTTTAGTAGAAGGTGAACTATGTAAAGGATCATTCCTATGAAGTTTGATAACAGATGTTAACCGGAACACATTAAATGTGGGTTTTTACAAGCTTTTTCCCTGGTACAAACAAACGTTTACTCTTAGCGCTACAAGGTCCACTACCTGACACAATGGAATCGGATAAGTTAACCTTTTGCGCTTATTTTTTGGAGCTGTAACTGTAAAAGTTTGCTTGTACCCCCGGATAAGCATAGGAACTCGAGAACGGGACCGCAGATTGCGACGCATATTTTGGATCGTTTAACGGTTTTTAAAAATGTTTCTGCTACATCTAAATATCTTTTAGTATTATCCGAGTGTATGGACTCAAAAAATATGTTATCAATTAAACCCAATCTGTCTCTTTTAAAACTGGTCAAATTTTACGATATTATAAAACAAGAGGGCCATGATGGCCCTGAGGTCGCTCACCTGTATATAGGCCCCCGGAGCGGGGCCAGTTTAAACCCCAGGGCTTTTATTTGAACAAACTTGGAAGGCACCCATTAGAAGATGTTTCATGATGTGTTTACTACACACATATAATGTAAAACAATGACCAGCCCCCCCCCCCCCCCGGCTTTTATTTGAACAAACTTGGTAGACAACCATAAGAAGATGTTTCATGCTTAATATCTAAGCTCTAACTCATTGGGTTTTTTAAGAGAAGCTTTTTATGTTTTTACTATACAAATATAGTTAAAAACATTGACACTCCAGGGGCAGGGCCAGTTTTGACCCCAGGGCTTTTATTTGAACAAACTTTGTAGACACTTACTAGAAGATGTTTCATGCTTAATATCTAAACTCTAGCTATTTGGATTTTTTCAAAGAAGATTTTTAAGTTTTTGCTATACACATATTAGGAAAATCAATGACCCCCAGGGCAGGGCCAATTTTGACCCAAGGGCTTTTATTTGAACAAACTTGATAGACACTCACTAGAAGATGTCTCATGCTTAATATCTAAACTCTAGCTATTTGGTTTTTTTCAAAGAAGATTTTTGAAGTTTTTGCTATATATACACATATAAGAAAAAACCAATGACCCCCGGGGCAGGGCCAGGGACCCCAGGGAATTTGACCCCAGGGAATTTATTTGAACAAACTTGGTAAAAACCCATTAGAACATGTTTCATGCTAAATATCTTAGCTCTAGCTCTTTGAGTTCTTTAAAAGAAGATTTTTTAAGTTTTTACTATATGCATATAGGGAAAATCAATAACCCCCTGGGGCGGGGCCAATTTTGACACCAGGGCTTTTATTTGAACAAACTTGGTAGACACTCATTAGAAGATGTTTCATGCTAAACATCTTAGCTCTAGCTCTTTGGGTTCCTAAAAAGAAGATATTTAAAGTTTTTTCTTTTGGTTGCCATGGCAACCAGAGTTCTGCATGGAATTAAATTCTTTGAACAATTTTCAAAGGTGACCACCAAAGGAACATTCCTGTGAAGTTTGGATGAAATTGGCTAAGTGGTTTATGAGGAGATGTCATTTAAAGTAAAAGTTTACGGACGGACGGACGGACAGACGCCGGACGAAAAGCGATCACAAAAGCTCACCCTGTCACTTTGTGACAGGTGAGCTAAAAAGACAAGGAGTGACATCCGCCATTCGCCGCAACGTTTTCGGCATGAGTTTTTCCCCTTTGGTTACAATTGATTACTATTTTTTCAGAATTTTGTTCCCGTTATTTTTGTCAACTATCAGGTATTGTCCGGATATAACGTTAACGGTTTATCGTTTACACGTGTTGACATGTATAGGCGGCATTATAACGGGCGTATTCGTGTTTTGATTCTTTAACATGGAGAAAACAGACAGTTTAGTAATATGGTCCAACTGATTTTGCCTAACTGAAAAAAGGAATATTAAAACATGATCCAAAGATAAATATTTTTGGCACTCATCTGGAATTCATTACTAGAAAAATTTAAACAAAAATCAAGCATATCAAGGGGGATAACTTACGCCGAACGTTGCGGTAAATGGCGGATGTCACTCCTTTTCTTTTTTCAATATACCGTAAATTTTACTGATTTTTAAATTAGCAGATTATATTAAATTGAGATTAGATAATTAAAGACCATCCGCTCGCATAATATGAAAAGATATTCAAAGGTCGGACAAACAATATTTAAAGCCGGTACGGATTCGGGTTTATGTGCCGCAATATGCGGTCCTGTTCCAGAGTTCCTTTGCGGATAAGCTGGGAAAAACCCAAAATATTTTTTTTCAAGAGTATGACTATTGAGGCAAAGGGGACATTTTGCAATGACAAAAACTCACTATTGAGCAATTGTTTTTAGGTAAGCTAAAAACAATATTAGAAAACCGCAAGTCGGATGTATCGCCTTGTGAACAATATAGTTTAGGAGAAATGGCCAGGACAAAAATGAAATATGAAAATTAACAAAGGGCAATAACTCAAAAAATAAACAAGAGCTGTCCGTAAGACAGCGCGCTCGACTTTTTTATTGCTTGCCAATAAAAAAAGTTTTTGCAGTAAAAGGCAATACAAGAATCTCTGTATTTTTAAAGTGAACAATGGCCATGAGCATTAAGATATTTAGTGAAGAATTATTTTACTGAATTGTGTGATACCCTTGAACACTGCAGCAAAGTTTGAAATGTTTAAGTCAAAAGAGGGCTGGTAAGAAAGAAAAAAAATCATGATTGTAAACAAGTATTCCAACTTTCAAATTAATATCTCAAACAGTTCAGTCAAAAAGTGGACTGGTACTAAAAACTTAACCAAGATTCTAAGTCGATAAAAGGCCTTAATTTTTAAAACAAATCCTTGACAGAGTTACCTTCTCTTGCGTACAGATGGGGGTAATGATGTGAAATAGCATTAAAAGTTTCAAAGCAATATCTCAAAGGGTTAAGGCAATAAGTGGATTTTACCCATATTCAATGTATTTTCTAAGTCAAAAAGGGGCATAATTCTGTCAAAAACCTTGACAGAGTTATGTCCTCTTGTCTGTTGATGAAGGTCGTAATGGTAAACAAGTATGGTCAGTTTCAAAGCAATACCTCCAATGGTTTTGAAATAAAGTGAGGTGGTACAAAAAACTTAACCAAGCTCAATACACTTTCTAAGTCAAAAAAGGGCCATAATTCTGTCAAAAACCTTGACAGAGTTATGTACTCTTGTCTGTAGATGGAGGTTATGATGGTGAACAAGTATGGTAAGTTTCAAAGCCATACTTGTAGTACTTCTGAAATAAAGTGGGGTGGTACGAAAAACTTAACCAAGGTGTGACGCCAACGCCGACGCCGACGCCAACGCCGACGCCGACGCCGACGCCGGGGCGAGTAGGATAGCTCCCCTTTTCATAGAAAAGTCGAGCTAAAAATGCAGAGCAGCAGTTTCTGTGCACTGCACTTCTTATCAATAAGATCTATCATCCTATGAAGTTTCAAGTCTATAGCTTTTATAATTTTTGAGAAATGGCCTTGACAAAAATAAAGTATGAAAATTAATAAAGGGTAATAACTCAAAAATAAGAAGTGCAGAGTACCAGTTCTTGTACACTGCACTTTATCTTAATGAGATCTATCATCCTATGAAGTTAAAAGACCATATAAAGCTGTTATACTTTAAGAGAAATGGCCTGGACAAAAATAAAGTATGAAAATTAACAAAGGGCAATAACTCAAAAAATAAGAAATGCAGAGTTCAGGTTCTTGTGCACTGCACTTCTTCTAAGTTCTTAATGAGATCTATCATCCTAAGAAGTTTCATGTCCATAGCTTTTATACTTTAGGAGAAATGGCCTGGACAAAAATAAAGTATGAAAATTAACAAAGGGCAATAACTCAAAAAACAAGAGCTGTAGGTAGGACAGCAACGCTCAACTATTCTTAGTGCTTGATAGTAAAGAGCCTTGAAAATGTAAAATTTTCTAAGTTTACAAAAGGGCAAAATTTTTCTTTAAATCCATGTTACAGTTATAGGCCTTGGAGAGAGTCCTATTACCCTCCCACAGAAGAGTATAAAATTTCAACTTGTTTCAAAGCCAGATGTCAATAGAATATGAAAATAATCTGGGGCGGTATGCAAACGTGTACATAAATTCTAAGTCGAAAAAGGGGCATAATTCTGTCTAAATGCTTGATACAGTTACCTCCTCATGTCTTCAGGTTGGGGTCATGATGGTGTAAAGTGTGCAAAGTTTCAAAGCCATATGGCAATGGACTTTGAAAATATTTGAGGTATTACAAAAACTTAAACGTTAATTCTAAGTCGAAAAAGGGGCATAATTCTTTCAAAATGCTTGATACAGTTACCTCCTCCTGTCTACAGGTTGGGGTCATGATGTTGAACAAGTGTGCAAAGTTTCAAAGCCATATGTCAATGGACTTTGAAAATATTTGAGGTATTACAAAAACTTTAACAGAAGTTGTTACGCTGACGCGGACTTCAATAGCTCTACTTATTCTTATCAAATAGTTGAGCCAAAAAGAAGTGCAGAGTACCGGTTCTTGTGCACTGCACTTCTTCTTAATGAGATCTATCATCCTATAAAGTTTCAAGTCCATAGCTTTTATACATTAGGAGAAATGGCCCGGATAAAAATAAAGTATGAAAATTAACATTCAGGGCAATAACTCAAAAATTAAGAAGTGCAGAGTACTGGTTCTTGTGCACTGCACTTCGGGTCATTATAAGAAGCATGCATACCAAGGTTGAAGTAAATCAAACTTATAATGACTGACTTATGCTCCGGACAAGCTTAAGGGGACGCCGACACCGCCAACTAAAGTAACACCCATATGAAGCCTTTTTTCAAGGCAACACAACAACTGTACTTTTTTCATCATTTTCAAAATAACATAATATAAATATAAATAAGACTAAAATACCTAATTTAGCTGCCTTCCCTGCATCCTTGATCAATTGATTGTTCAGACCAGACCAAATATATATGCAAGGTATTTCTTTCCCTTTACCTCTATACCTTGGATTTATATCTATAACTTCAGCTTTTATACTGCCACCAGCCAATATAAACTTTTTTGACTCTTCCTGTATATCTGTGGGCACAGAGCCACAGTTTACTTTTCCTTTCATCACAACAACTGCCCCCTCACAACTGCACTCAAGAACTTCATTTTTTTCCGGTTTCCACTGCTTACAAGTTTTATCATACCCTCTAATAGCAAGACCAGTAATATGGTATGTTAACATTTTCTGAAAGTAAATTAAAATAAAAAGATAAAGAAAATTTCTATGCAACACTGATATAATTCAAATACATGTAGTTCTTTAAAATGTATTAAAGCAACAAACACTTGAAGTTGGTAGTGCTAGTTCTGCTTGTTTGTGATTTAAAACCAAGAACCATCAATTCAACTGTTACTGTTGTCTACTGTTCTGCGAACGTAGTCGTAGGGGACCAGGACAGCGGAACAATACGGTGTATGCTTTATACTTTTGTTTTCAACAAAATGGCCCATAATCACTGTGGTTTTGCAAGATTTTAACAAGTTGGAGTGTCCGAGTTTAAATGCATGATGTGTAAAGAGTAGCAAAATAGCTTTTATTGTTACAGAACTAGACATTGTGGTTGTTCCACAGTGAGTGAGCTTGTCCTAGTAAAGTTCTATTTTTTTCTTTAATTTATCACAAAAAAGTTGTTTTGGTGCTTTTTAATTTTTATTTTGGGGGGGGGGGTGAGAGTTGTATGGGTACCTAGACTTGACGAGCACCTGTGATTTTAAATAAGAGGCGATGAAAAAAAAAAATATACTCCTCAACATCACTAATTCTGCGTCATCACTTATTTCACGGTAATGGCATATTTTCATGTGATCAGTGTTAAAATTGGTCAGAATTGACATATTTATTCATACACCTATACAACATTTTTTTTGTGCAAAATATTTTAAATCGTAAAACAGAACAACATTTAACAAATTTCTGCAAAATGCAACAATAGTCCATTTAATTTGTGCGTATGTCTGAAACAATCATCATTTTCTAAATGTTCTTGTTTGTTGAAAAATAAATTTAGAGTTACTAAGTAAGGATAATTCTAATATTTAAAATTAAGCAAAATAATATGTAGAAATTTTAACTTAAACATGAACTGAAATGTAACACCATTACCGCAATTTAAATGATGACATACTGTTTTCAAAATGGCCGACATATGGTCTACGTTATGTCCATTAAAATTGACTTTGACTGAATACATTGTTGTTTCCTGTGACATACAGCAGAAAATACCTTTATCACACACCCGTGCCGATTTTGCGACTCCGTAAATATGGTATTGCACGGCCGTGCATATATTTTGACGTGACGTCATTAGCGTTATACAAACATAGTGTAAGACGCGCTAAATGTTAGCGTTTAACTATAGGCGCGTCAATGAAAAATGACTCTTATTTCACTTTAAACGGTCTTTATTTTGGGTATGTGATAAATAGAATATTAAATTCGTGTAAGTTCATTACTGAATTTATTGCACTCGTTGAATAAAATAATATTATGCTCGCCAGAGGCTCGCATATAATTTTATTCAACTTGTGCAATAAATTCAGTATTGAACTTACACTCATTCAATATCCTCTATTTATCACATAAACCGCGGCGCAGGAGTGTAATAAAGCCATTAAATAAAAACGATATTACACTAGACGATATTACACTAGTGTAATAACACTTTGACGTCACGTCATTTGCACTATAAACATAGCGTTAAAGCGCGCTAATGTTAGCGTTACAATATAGGCGCGCCAAAGAGAAATGACTCTTGTTAACAGTTTACCGTTCTTATTTTATATATGTGATAAATAGAATATTATATTTCTATAGATTCAATACTAAATTTATTGAACTCGTTGAATAAAACAATATTATGCTCGCCAGAGGCTCACATAATATGATTTTATTCAACTGGTTCAATAAATTTAGTATTAAACCTACACTCATTCAATATCCTCTATATATGTTATATAGCTTATGACAATTTTTGTACCATAAGTTTCATTTGTTGTTTTCTTTCCAACAAAATGTTCTTTTTACTTATCTTCCAGACGGTGGTTAGTATTGTCATGAACACAGGCTACTGACATTGAGAAAATTTCCTTAAAAAATTATTAAATTATCATTAGGCATAGAAAAAGCATATAAATGTAAAAACGACTGATTTTATTCTGATTTTCAAGCTGAGTTTTAACTTAAGAAATAATATGTTCTAAGGCGTGTTATCGGCTTTTAAACACCGGTCTGGAATTTGATATGTATGGAATATGGTTAATTTTTTTTTGTAACAAAAACGACAAAAACCGGTGGTTAAATAGCCGATAAACACCGTTAAGACGATATTATTTCGATTCTAAACACAATAAAATAAGGAAGATCACTAATGTTTTTTTTAGCAGAATAACTTCAGTTTCTTGATTTTAGTAAAATGCTGTCCGACATTCCCACACTACTGTTGCGAAGATATAGAAATTATTAAACAAAAGAAATAATAAGAAAAAACATTATTTTATCAAAGTTTTTCAACAATAAAAACTTGCGACGTATTGTGTTTATATCAGTGTCCCATTTATCATTCTTGTATGTATGAATAACGTCAGCTTCTTTATGAATGAGTTGTTTACTTTGGATGACGTCATTACACTGCTTACGGATTGGCGCCGTTTTGTTCAAATATTTTTTTTACTGATATGGACTCTTTTTTGACGAGTGTTTCGAAACGACTCTGGGCCGAACTGACATGATGACAATGTGAGCGACTCAAACATTACCTTTCCACACCTGCACGTAAATCATGTAACGTTTTATAAATGTACGAAATATTGTGAAGCAATTTTAAAACTATAAACTTATTGTGAAATACAAACAGTTCAAACTCACAATTATGATATTTTTTATCAGCCGCTCAGCACCAATTTCGAATAATATTCTAAAATAGCTTTCGGAATTTTCCAGAATTTCTCCAGACTGTCGTTAAGTTGCCGAAGTTTTGCGACAAAGACCGAATGTTTTAGTTGAACACACCGACTACGGCATGTATATTTGCCTTGATATTGCCACGGATTGTTGATATTGCAAATTCAGTCTCGGGTAAATTAATATTTGATAAAAAAAACTTATATGCTTTATTTTCATGTCATAGAGCTAATACTACTTTCCTTGGTTGAAATTTGTGCGTAGATTCTCTCGGGTTTTTTCAAGTTACCCTCGTGAGTCCATTATTCCAATGACATAAGCAATCAGATCCATATAATAATTGATTTTCCAAACTGTCATTCGCCCAATTTCCGGGCCA